GCGGGAAGCTGCGCCAGCCGCGGAGAACGGGAGGGTCCGCGGCACCTCTGGCATTGAATCTCTCCATGGCCACTTTTGGCTCGAGCCCGCAGTCAGGCGATCGAGTTCGTAGACGATCGTTTTTATGCACTCGCGTCTGCTCTCGCAGCCGGCGCATCAGTCACGCGGAATGCGAGGTTCGCCTTCCCCGTCTCGCTGGCGGCGATGGCCCGAGTAGCTCCGGGCGAGAGACGCCCGGCGCCTGCGAGGCCACTCAGCAGGATATCGAGAGGATGCGCCAGGGGCAGGTGGCTCGCCCCCCGACGTCGACCACCAAGTAGACAGGGAGGACAACCGCAGCGCCAGCAGGGCGCCATGGGGCATAGCCACGGCGATGACGAGACCGCCCAGCAGGTAGCCGCGGCGGACAGCCTCCACCGCTCAGGAAAAAATGCCCTCCCAAGCTGGGCCCGAGGGGCGGTCTGCTGCTGGGCCGGCCGCCGCAGCCTCCGCCGGCGGCCGTGCTTCCAGCGCCCATTCCGATGGCCATGGCGCCACCGGGGGCACCTCCAGCCGAGCCCCCTCCGCAACCAGCTCCACTTCCATTGCAGAGCGACATCGATCCAGACGCGCTGCGTGGGCGTCCTCAGCTGCGCACGCGCCACTGGGTCAAGGGCGCCGAGATCCGGACTCAGGGCCCCTGCAGGTATATGCCCCAGCGCCGCAGACCTCCAGCAATCTGATGTCCACCCAGGTCCTTATGAACCTGGGGCTCCTGGCCGACATTGCTGACGTTAAACGCGTTTTGTCTGTCTGACCCCATGGCCAGGGCACAGTGCCTTGTGTGCGTCGAACCCTGCGAGGGCATAGACCTCCCGAGAGGGTCCCTGATACTCCTGGAGGTCAATGTATACGAACTCGACGATGTGCCAGCGGCGTGGGGGCGCGCAGCGGTGAATTTCCTGTCGCAGCACAGTTTTATTAAGAGTCCTCTGGGGCCATGTTGGTGGGCCCGCTACGGGCCCAAGGGTGAGATATTAGATGTGGTGCTTTTGGAAGTGGACGACTTGCTTATAGGCAGCAGCTCGCCCACCGCCTGGGCCTGGATCACGCAGTTTCTGGAGTCTCGTTTCAAGTTTGGCAAGCGCCGTGGTTGTCATGGCGGCCCTGCTGAGTTTGCAGGCAGAGGCGCGGTCGCCAGCTCCCAGATGGCGACCCTGGATTAAGAACAACGCATCCTCGAATCTATTAAAAACCTCACGATGGCACGTGGCCGCCTCTCTTCGAAGACTAGCCCTCTTGACCAGTCAGAATTCAAAGCGCTGAGATCTCTCGTGTACAAACTCAAATGGGCAGGTTGGGGGCGTGGGCCAGATGCCGCCGGGGTGGCCAGCATCCGACCACGGGCGATGTGGAACTTTCGAACAAAATCGCGCCACCTACGATCCACCGCTTCTCCAGGTCTCACGATGCGGAAGTTGGGCCCTGAGCGTATTGCGCTTACTTCTTACTCCGATGCGGGGGGGTTCGGTGCTTTTGACGATTTCCTCGACGATCGCGGCCTTCCCGAAGACCCCGCACAGGGTGCTTGGATGGTGCTCGCAGCAGACTGCAGCGTCCTAGAGAACCGATGGGCGCGCGCCTCTATCTCAGGCTGGCGCAGCTCCAAGCTGCGACGCAAAGTGCCCTCGATTCTAGCGGGCGAGACCCAAGCTCTTTCCTCGGCAGTGACGGAAGTGGAGTATCTGCAGATTCTCTATCGAGACATCCTGTCCAGGACGTAGATATACGAGACCATCACTGCTGTTTCGGACCTTCCGCCACTGTTCTCAGAAGGAACTACAGTCTCGTCTCCCGGGAACACCACGGACATATAGTCGATGTTAAATCTGTATACGACACCATGCTCAAAGAGGGCAGCGCGTCTGCTCGTGACCGAAGAACGGCTACCGACCTCGCTATTCTGTGTGAGGCCCTCGAACGGACCCAGGGCAAGGTTCGCTGGATCCCGCGCGCCCGTATGCCGGTCGATTCCCTGACGAAGGACGACATCGCAAAAGGGAATGCCGCCCTCCTCGATTTGATGACGAGCGGCAGGCTGGTCCAGGTGGACGAAGGCGCCGAGGTTGGTTGAAGGCCGCCGTGCCCAGTCAGGGTTCAAGAGCCGCGCCCAGGCAGCCCCCCGGAAGGTTTTGGACGAGACAGCGTGGATCTCATGGAAGGAGCTCCACGACCAGGTCCGGGTCGGTGGTGGTGGTGGTTCCTATTCTCCTCCTCTTTCCTTTTTTTTTTTTTTTCTCTCTCTCTCTTTTTTTTTTTTTTTTTTTTTTTTTTTCTCTCTCTCTCTCTCTCTCCCATGCCAGACTCTATGCCTTCCAATAATCTCATTGTCTGCTATTCTTTCCTTGTTGCTTTGCCCTCTTTCCTTCAGGGGCACCGACAGGCAGTTCAGTACCTGCCTGCCTCCCGTTGGTCACAGGAACCTAACGGCTAGAGGTGCAAAACCTATGAAACAGTTCGACCTGTGTAGCAGGTGTGCAAAATATTCACAAGTAGGTTTTGCGTCAGGTTTCATGGACTGTGTCTTACCGTTGGGACACGTTTGTCTCATGGGAAGAAGATGCTGCCCCTGCTGCTGCCGCAACTAGGCTTTCACAGCCCATGCGGCGGCGATTGCGACGACTGCTTGGCGCCGGCTCGCGCGTCGCTGCGGCCGCGCTACTGCGCGCACACGCACGCATATATAAATGTACAATACAATGTATAAATGTACGTTGGTATGTGTAGACGTACACACATACTATACATATGTACACCGCACCGTCACGCACGCACGCGCGCACACGCATACACATACCAACAAGCGCGCACACACATGCGCACGCGCACACACGCACACGCACACACGCACACACGCACACATGCACGCACGCACACACGCAAACACACACACAGCGCACAACGCACAAAACAACACAACACACAACACACAGCACACAACCCATAACAGACAACACAACACATACACACATACACGTTTTTTGGCGTCGCGGCCGCCGCGCAGTGACAGGGCGGATAACGTCGGTAGTAGCGGTCGTGCGCGCGCGGCTTTCGAGTGGCCGAGCATTCAACCCCTTTGCAAGCCACAGACACACACACACACACACACACACACACACACACACCACACACACACGCACACACGCACACGCACACACGCACACGCACACGCACACACGCACACACACACACACACACACACACACCACACACAGCACATACACACACGCATACACAAACATGCATATATATATATACATATATATATATATATATATATATATATATATGTTTCAGGCCGTCCAGCCAAGCTCCCTGGGAGAGCCTTGCACGTCCAACGCCGCCCAGAAATCCATGATCAAAGTCCGCTTGCCCAAAGCTCCCCTCTTGAGAGCCCCGCCGTTACGCGAAGGACCTCCGAGGGCTCCCTTTGGGTCCTCAAGGCGCCCCTCTTTAGGTCCCTGAAGGGCGCTCCGACGGGCCCGCAACTTGGGGGCCCTCTTGAGTTCCCCAACGGGGCTAATTGGGGGCCCTCTTAAGGGCCCTCTTGTTCTGGGCCAGACGGTCTGGGGCCCTCCCGGGGGTGGGGGCACTCGAGGTCTCCCGCAGGGCTTCGATGGCAGCCCCAGGGAGTCCAGGAGGGCTCCGCGCGGGGCTCCTAGAGCCCCCCCCCCCGCGAGGCCCGGTCAGTTCATGCGAGCGAGCTCTTTTGGGAGACTGCTTGCGATCCAAAGGATTAGGAACACCAGCATGGGTACCGAAAGAATGCAGACGTAGGCCGACAGCACGTCCTCACCATTTTGAACCAGATTCGTTGTCGGTGTCGCCGCGGACGTTATCCGTTGTCGACGGACGTCGCGCGCCCAACAGTGGGATAATCTGATCGAGGAATCTCTCACTCACAACTTCTGCTACGGCATGTTGCCGCGATGTGTCCTTCTGTGATACCATATGATTGTGTCAGGGGGCGATGCACGAGCGCTTGCGATGATAGTGGTGCTGTGGTTGCACTGCGGCTGTATTTTTTGGTGATGATGAAGATGTCATGTGGTGGTGGTGCGTCAATTTTCTCCGCTTGATTGGGCGCCTCTCTAACGCTCCCCGCTCCCCCCCTCGACTTCTGTTTCCTCACCCTCCCTCCTCGTCCTCCTCGTCGTCGTTTTTCCTCTCTCCATCCTCCTTGACTTACTCGAGCTTTTGAAGCTGGACGCTCCCCAGTCCAGCTGAAGACTTTGATGATGTGCAGTATGGGGAGTTATGTATGCGTTTTGGCCTGGCCCTTGCGTGGCCAGCAAGCGTCTTCGTTTTGCGCCACCTCCTCGGGAGAAGGGGCCCGTCCTGGAGGGTCCTGGGACCGACGAACATGATCCGACGTCTCATCCCTTTGCCGCCCACTATCCTGAATCTCACGTGCTGCGAGCGTCTTGCGGTGATCGGCACATGACGGCTCCGTGAACCCTGTCATCAGCCCCCGCGGAAGGGGCTCGTGGCTTTGAATCGCCTCGGGCGTGGGCTCCCGCCCAAGTCGGGAATGGAGTCTCCGCGGTGATTGTGGTGAGGTGGTCAGGCTGGCACTCCAGCCTGGAGGCTCCCGGGGGCTTCTGCAGGCCTCGAGAAGCTTCCGGAGGCCTCCGGCCCAGAAGCGCACGTCCAGAGGCCCCGATGCATTCCCGCCCCTGCCCCCTCCCCGCCGCCGGCCCGCGCAGGGGAGCGGGCGCTGCGGGCCCGGGCGGACCTCTTGGTCCAGGCCCCGCCGGGCCCCTCCCCTCCCTGTTCTCCTCGAGGGCTCGGGGGGCACCAGGGGGGGGGGGGAGGTGGTCCAGTGGCGCCGCCCTGTCCCGCCCCAGAGGTGAGAGCGGCACCTGGCCATGCCCTCGTTGCGCCTCCTCTCTCCCCCCCCCCGCCGCCAGAAGCCAAGATGGCCGCAGCCCCCGGGTGAAGGCCACCCGCCGCGCGGGCCCATGGGCGAGGCCTCCGCCGCGGGCGGCGCGGTGGCGAGGCAGGAGGGCCAAAACGAGCGGCACGGACGTGCCTCTTCGGAGGTCCGCGCAGGTCGGCGCTGGAGCCTCACCCCACCCCGCATCCCCTGGACCGTGGTTGGTGATAAAACTTAGAGAGGGCGTTTTTTGGTCCTGATGCCTCGGCCTCAACTTTTCGGTGTTCGGCCAACCGGAAGGAAACAAGTGACGACAGCCCCAAGACAGAGACGAACCAGCAGTACAATACGGAACTGAACCGACAACAGCGCGAGCGAGAATCTCAAAGCGGAAGCAACACGGACCCCCAAATGGGAACACGTGCCGACCCCCAAAACGGGGGAAAACGCCCCCAGCGTTTTTAGCATCACCGAAGCCCTTTGGCCGCCCCCCTTCCCCCGGCGTGCTCCGCGCGCTGGGGCGCCAGGGCCCCACAAACCAGGACTCTGCAGTCCAGGATTTTGCCAGATCCGGCGGGAGAGAAACGAGGGATGGGGAATCGGAGGCGACGATGGGGGCGAAGAGCCCCGGGGCGAGTGGCCCGGGAGCCTCGCCGAAGGCATAGACCATTTGGCGCCCCTGGATAACATGTATTGCTCTCCCCTTGGGCTACTCGACCCCATCGTCGCCCCAGAGAGAAGGCGACCCACGGCTGACGCCTCCGCTTGCTGGGCCCTGGGGCAGGGCGGGGGTGTGGGGGAGGGGGGCTCCGGCGCCGCAGCCACCTCTTCTTGGTGCCTCGGAAGGCCCCCTCCGCCGCCCCCGCCCGCCCCGCCAGCGCCGCCTGGGTGCGAGGGCGCGTCCGCCAGCGCGGCCGAGGAGAAGCCTGGCAGGCCCGAGAAGGCGCCCAGCTCCCCCCCCCTCCCCGGGGGGGCGCCGAGAGGAGGAGCAGGAGGAGAAGGGGGAGGAGGGGGAGGGGGAGGGGGAGGGGGAGGAGGGGGAGCAGAAGGAGGTGGTGTGGGGGGGAGGACGATGATGGTGATGATGATGATGATGATGATGATGATGATGATGATGATGATGATGATGATGATGATGATGATGACGATGACGATGATGATGATGATGATGACGATGCTGATGATGCTGATGATGACGACGATGATGATGATGTTGATGATGCTGATGATGACGACGATGATGATGCTGATGATGCTGATGATGAGGAGGAGGTGGAGGCTGAGGATGACGCTGACGATGATGTTGCTGTGCATAATGATGATGGTGATGATGATTATAAAGAGGATGATAACGCTGATGATGATGCTGGTACTACTGATGATGATTATGATTATAAGGGCAATGTTTATGATGAGCAGGTTGACGATGCTGATGATGAAGATGTTGAGGATGCTGATGTTGATGTTGATGTTGATGATGATGATGATGATGATGACGACGATGCTGCTGATGATGATGATGACGATGCTGATGATGCTGATGATGACGACGATGATGATGCTGATGATGCTGATGATGCTGATGATGAGGAGGAGGTGGAGGTGGATGATGACGCTGATGATGATGTTGCTGTGCATAATGATGATGGTGATGATGATTATGAAGAGGATGATAACGCTGATGATGATGATGCTGGTACTACTGATGATGATTCTGATTATAAGGGTAATGGTTATGATGAGCAGGCTTATGATGCTGATGATGAAGATGTTGAGGAGGTTGATGTTGATGATGATGCTCATGATGATGATGATGATGATGATGATGATGATGATGATGATGATGATGATGATGTTGAGGATGTTGATGTTGATGCTGATGATGATGATTATTATGATGATTATGATGATGATGACGATGCTGATGATGCTGATGATGACGATGATGATGATGATGATGATGATGATGATGATGATGCTGATGATGATGATGATGATGACGACGATGATGATGATGCTCATGATGCTGATGATGAGGAGGAGGTGGAGGCTGAGGATGACACTGACGATGATGTTGCTGTGCAGAATGATGATGGTGATGATGATTATAAAGAGGATGATAACGCTGATGATGATGCTGGTACTACTGATGATGATTCTGATTATAAGGGCAATGTTTATGATGAGCAGGTTGACGATGCTGATGATGAAGATGTTGAGGATGCTGATGTTGATGTTGATGTTGATGATGATGATGATGATGATGATGATGATGATGATGATGATGATGACGACGATGCTGCTGATGATGATGACGATGCTGATGATGCTGATGATGACGACGATGATGATGCTGATGATGCTGATGATGCTGGTGATGAGGAGGAGGTGGAGGTGGATGATGACGCTGAGGATGATGTTGCTGTGCATAATGATGATGGTGATGATGATTATGAAGAGGATGATAACGCTGATGATGATGATGATGATGCTGGTAATACTGATGATGATTCTGATTATAAGGGTAATGGTTATGATTGCAGGCTTATGATGCTGATGATGAAGATGTTGAGGAGGTTGATGTTGATGATGATACTCATGATGATGATGATGATGATGATGATGATGATGATGATGATGATGATGATGCTCATGATGATGATGATGATGATGATGATGATGATGATGATGATCATGATGATGATGATGTTGAGGATGTTGATGTTGATGCTGCTGATAATGATGATGATGATGATGATGATGATGATGATGATGATGATGATGATGATGGTGATGATGATGCTTATTCTACTGACGATGATGATGCTGCTGTTGATGGTGATGATGGAAGAGGAGGAGGTCGAGGAGGAGGAGCAGAAGGAGCAGGAGGAGCGGGCACCAGTCCACGAAGCAGCGTCACGGTGGAACACTGCCCGCAAGTCGGGATGCGAGAGCCTTCGGCTGTGCACGGGGAGTGGGGCAGACTGCGCGGCATCCGCCAGAAGCCGAGGCCCGAGCCACGCAGTAGGCGCTTGGAGAGGGGGGGCGGTCGTGGGACAGCGGAATGGTCCTGCCCACCAGCCGCCTGTTGTTGCGGATCGCGTCCAGCCAAGACCTCGTCGATGAACCACCTTTGGCCCGCGGGAGCCTCGCCCCGGATGAGAGCATGAGCGCCGCGCCGAGGACTGGCGAGACATCGGCCCGAGGTTTCCACAGGGTTTTCAGTGGCAACTCATGGGGGCCTTGTATGTCCTTTCAGTTCTTTCTTTAGAGTGCGCCGGCGTGTGCTAGCGACAAGTAACCGATGAGAACGCGCCGGTTTCACGTCGACCAGCTTGGATTCAGCGCCGACCAGCGTCGGTTAGCGCCGACTCGCAGGAGGCAGCAAGATGGCAATGGAGGCTCCCATGAGCTGCCACAGAACGAGGTCGGCACGTCGCACGCTAACAGCATCCGATTTTCGTACGGGCTCGCCCTCGCGGCCCGCGCGGGCTGCACTGCCTCGCTGCGCGACCCTCGCCGCGCGGGTGGAGGGTGCGGGCGTGCTGGCACCCTGCGCCGGGCTGCTCGAGCTTGGCCCTGCTCCTCGACGTCCTCGCCGAGCAATGCCCCTGCCCGCAGGGAAGGACAATGTGCCGAGACCGTTGCCCGTCCGTCGCTGCCGCGGCCAGATTCGCCCCGAAATCTTGGCTAGAACGCACCCCGCGGGGGGGGGTCTGGAGTAGCGGTATCGGCACTGTGTTGTCCTCCCATCTGCCGCGAGGTGCACGTGGTGCACGGGTCGCGTTGGGGCTAGGTGCACGTGACGGCCTCGCCGTTGCAGCGACACCACGTGCAACTCTCGACCCCATCCACTTCAGCATCAGACGGAATCAGGCGAGTGGCAGAGTCGGGGGTAATCGGGCCGCCCGCGCGGCTCTGGCGCCGAACAGTTGTTGGCGACACGGTGGCCGCTCGCGAGAGGAAATCAAACGCGCGATACGCCAAGATCGCCACGCCTGCCACTTGTGCGGCCAATATTTATATCCATATCCAGTGCGTCTCGGACTTTCTTGGAAGGGGCGCTGCAAGGCCGAGGCGCACTGGATATGGATAAAACTTGAGCCTTTTGGAGGCAGATTATTATCCATATCCAGTGCGCCTCATGTTTCTTGGGAAGAGTGTCCGAAACTCTAAGGCGCACTGGATGTGGATAAAGACGTTGCCCGCAACTTGGACCTGGCTGCCTCAAGACTCCAGGCGAGCGAAGAAGTCGGCTAAGGAGTTGTCAGGAACGTCGCACACTCGAGACCGAACCCTCGCCCTCCAGCATCACGTCGCGCTCACTACTGTTGCCGAGGTTGCCACGTGCAGGAGAGTCCAGCGAAGGGTGGTCCACCCTTCTCTGCGCCTCGCGCAGCCTACCATACGCAACTCCAGACCGACGCGTGGCGGTGTTGCTTGGACGCCAGGCTTGGCTGACCACCTGAGCCTTCCAGGCACGGCCGAGAGGCATTCCGAAACTGTTTCGGGTTCACATGGGAGGCACTGGCAGTGCCTGACGCGGTGCGCGGCCCTCGGCTCCTGGCACTCCTCTGGCACCCACCGCCGAGTCCCCACAGATACAGTCGGGGCCCTGAAGAAGGAACCCTTTTCGTTGGGGATGGGCTCCGCGTTCCTTAAGTTTTTCACAGCTTGCCTCAGGTGTTCCTTATGATTTCGATCGGAAATCGTAGTTTAACTTATGGACAAAAAGGGGCCTCGTTCCTTATTTAGGGTTCCTTAGGTCAACGCCCCGACTGTAGATCCAATGGGCCACCCCTCGCTAGACATCACCACGACCGCCCAGCCGCAGCGGGCCATCTCGGGCATGCCATTTGCTCGGCCTGGGCGGGTTGTGCACACGCGGGCAGCCCCCAGGGAAGACGGGCACCTCGGCGGTGTCGGAGCGCGTGCCTCGGCGCACGCGCGTCGGCGTCGGCTGCGCTCGTCCCTGCCCTCGTCCTCCTCGAACTCCTTGCCTGCCTCTTCCTCCCTCGCCCTGCTGCTCTGTAAAAGGGGCGCCTTGTTTCGACCTCTTGGGGGTCTCCCGAGGCACCTGCTGGCACCGCACTCGCTCGAGGCATTCTGACTTGCCGCCCGTCCGGCTCCTCAGCCCGACGGGCCGCAGCGTCGACGACGAGAGAGAGTCCATGTTTACGAGCAGGCGCCCCCGCGCGATGTGCGCCGAGTCCCATTCCCGCTACGCGATTCGCAGCGCCGACGAGGAGAAAGTACATGCTGGCAAGAAAAACGTCGACGTTGCGGTGTTCTTTTGACAGGTAGGACGGGGGATCTCGCGTCGGGTTGGCCAGGCGTCCGCGCGCGATGTGCGCCGCGTCCCGTTACTGCTACACTTTTCGCAACGTCGACGACAAGAAAGTCCATGCTGACGAAAAAACGTTGACCTTGTAGTGTTGTCGATAGGTAGGACGCGACCACCCGCGTAGGGTTACCCAAGCGATGTTCATTCCGCCCCATTCCTGCTACACTCTGCGCAACTCGACGACATGTTGGCGAGAGAAGAGTTTAGGTTTTTTGGGCAGTTCGGACGGCGGGGTTGTTATCGGCCGGCTAGGTGGGGATGTGGGGGTGTTTAATCATAGGAAGCAAGGATAGGAGGAGGAGGAGGAGGAGGAGGAGGAGGAGGAGGAGGAGGAGGAGGAGGAGGAGGAGGAGGAGCAGGAGGAGGAGGAGGAGGAGGAGGAGGAGGAGGAGGAGGAGGAGGAGGAAAAAAAAGGAGGAGGAGGAGGAGGAAACAAAAGGAGGAGGAGGAGGAGGAGGAGGAGGGAGGGAGGAGGAGGAGGAGGAGGAGGAGGAGGAGGAGGAGGAGGAGGAGGAGGAGGAGGTGGAGGTGGAGGTGGAGGTGGAGGTGGAGGTGGAGGTGGAGGTGGAGGTGGAGGTGGTGGAGGAGGAGGAGGAAGGAGGAGGAGAAGGAGGAGGAGGAGGAGGAGAGGAGGAGGAGGAGGAGGAGGAGGAGGAGGAGGAGGAGTGGGGTCAGGGAGGGACGATGACGGCGTTCGGCGGCAGACGGCCGCTGTGTTGTGGCGCTGCTGTTCGGACACCACAGGCCTGGCCCGGGAGGCGCGAACGCAGCAGCCAGGAGCACGAGGGAAGGGGGAGGAGGATCGCCGCTTCCAGCCCGCGCGCGGGCCTCCGCCGCCATCCTCGCGCGAGGACGAGCCGCCGTCCACCTCGAAGGGCTGCGACGCCGAGGGGCCCGAGGGCGCCGCCAAGGCCCCGGCGAGTCTGCTCGGCGGGGGCGGTTGAGCGGAGGGCGCGGGGGGGTGCGAGAGAGGGGGGGGGACGGAGGGGAGGAAGGGAGGAAGGGAGGAAGGGAGGGATCTTTATGGTTATGGACCCAGGACCATGACCCCAACGCCCGGGAGTTCCCCTTGGTGACGCGGGTGGGGACGCATCCGGGTGCCCCTGGATCTTTTTAGGAAGAGGGGGAGGGATGATGAGGATGAGGATGATAAGGAGGAGGAGGAGGAGGAGGAGGAGGAGGAGGAGGAGGAAGCAGACGGGGAGATGGTGAGCGGCAGGGCAAGGACGAGTGTGATGATGAGGAGAGCTAGCACAAGGATAATGACGAGGAGAGATGAGGCCTCAGGGTGAGGTAGTTGGACAGAAGTAGTCGGATACCAGCCATGGGAGCGCCGCCACCAAGTTGCCCGACAACGCACCATCGTGTGAAGGAGCCACGGATGGGAGTAACCACGCCCGCCACTCAGGCTCGCCATACGAGGGCGCCACCGTTTTCGGATGTTTTCCCGCCAGGGGAAGTAGCTCAAGGGCCGCCCTGGGCCCCTTCACCAAACGCTCCCCGCAACGCCCCAGAAGAAGGGCAACCAAACGCTGGGCTGGGGGAAGGAGGAAGAAGTGGAGGGGACAAAAGAGAAAGTCAGGATAAAGGGGGGAGGGCAAGGTCGAGGATAGCGACGAGGGTGCGGATGAGGGAGGAGGAGGAGGACGAGGAGGATGAGGACGAGGAGGATGAGGACGAGGATCACTTCGTTATCCTCGACTTTGTCACTCGAAGCGTTTCTCCCATTCGTCTTCCTGCCGCTGGTGCTGGTGCTGCTGCTGCTCCAAATTCCTGCCCATTCTCTCCACTATTCCCCCTGATCCTCCTCCTCCTCCTCCTCCTCCTCCCTCAAGTGCACGAGGAGGTGGGTGGGGCGAGGACGCCGTGGCAGCGAGACAGAGAGCGCGGAGGGGGTCTCCCGCGGCCGCCTCCCCCTCCTGGCGGAGAGGCCGCGCGCGAGCCCGCCGACGACGCGCGGCCCGCCGGGGCCGACCGGAGCCGGAGCAGGTCCCGGGACCGGCGGAGCAGGTTCGGAGGTGGATAGACCTCCTACCCTGACACGTCGATTAAGGAGTCGGCCGTTTTCGGTTCGCGAGGGGGCGTAGCGGCCGTCATTTTTGCGGGTCCGGGTCCGTCGGTTTCGGTCCTAGGCCGTTTTCACTAAAGGGAGGTTTATTAAAGGGAGGTTTGTCCACCGCCGACAGGTCCCGAGACCGCGCCGAGGACCGCAAGGACCGGGGGCGGGCGCCGAAAACCTAGGCAGGAGCGAGAGTGAAGGCGTGCGCGTGCACGAAGTCACGCAGGCTTCGGGAGTGCGCCTGTCGCGGACGCTCGCAACACGAGGGTGTGGCATCGTGGACTGGGGGGCCGTATTCAGTTACGTGGCTTGGCGCGCACATCTTTTGCTTTCTGGGCTCCCTGGTCTCCTGCAGCGTTTCAGACGTTCTAGTGAGCGGGTTGGACGGCCCTTCCCCCTTCTCTTCCCCCTTTCTCCTCCACCTCCTCTTCACATCTACCGCGCTCGTCGGAGACCCTGATGCAACATACTCTGGTCTTCGGGGGTCCCGCTACGTTGCCGCCCGTTTTCGCTCGTTGTCGCCTCGGGCGCTGGGTGGGTCCAGCGAGGTTTCGCCACGTTGCCGCCCGTTGCCGTTTTGTTGCTGCGCTGGGCGGTCCAGCGAGGCTTCGCCACGTTGCCGCCCGTTGCCGCCTCGTTGCCGTCTCGTTTGCGGGGTTGGTGGCGAGGTCTCGCCATGTTGCCGCCCCTTGCCACTTGTTGCCGCCTCTAGAGTGTACCACGTACACTGCACCACGTAGCTTACATCACATAGCTTACAACACATGGCCGGCACCACATACCCCGCATTCACAGTGTAATCACTTACTGTTTGGGGTCCACGCCAGCTATCTTTGAGGTCGATGCCTCAAGGCTTTCTTTTTCGCTTCCAGGTATTGGGTCTTTGGAGGTTGGTTTCGGGCTCCACGGTCATGAAACAACTCCCCCTGCGGATCGAGACAGCTTCAGAAATGCTGGAACAAGATGGGGTCAAGAGTTCCGCAGGAGTTGTTTTAGATTATGTTTTCGCACGGTTTTGAATATCGGACAGCTTTTTCCCCGCGCTATTGGTTTACTCCGTGATTTCATGAGGTCTTGCATTGCCACCCTTGCCACGGAATCTAAAGCATTGCCCTCGCTGGCGATTTGAACAGAGGTTCCAGCCCGATGAATGATCGGGCTAAGGATGGTGGGAGGATGGGGGATGGAGGACGAGAGGATGGGAGAATGGAGGGAGTGGGGATGGAGGACGACGATAGGGGATGTGAGAATGGCGCGTGAGAATGGCGCACTGGACGATGGTGGATTTGAGGATGGGAGATGGATGCTGGACGACAAAGGCAAAAAGGATGGCATGTGAATGTGAGGCTGGGACGCTGGGCGATGTTTTTTTTGGACGATGCGGATATGGGATGGGGTATGAGGGAGGAGGATGGAGGAACATGTTAGGAGGATCGGTGATGAGGATAGGAAGTGGAGGATAGGGGATAGGATTGGTTATGGCAGTGGGCCTTGGGATGTGCAGGAGATGGAGGAAGGGGCGTTTCTCGTATGCCGGCTTGGGCTGCCGGCTGACCCGGGACGCCCGCATTTGTCTGAGAGCACGTCTTGGGCTGAAGGGAAGTTTCTCGTATGTCGGCTTGGGCTGACGGCTGCTAAGGGTCAACAAGCTGGACGCAGTTGAAGAGCACGTCCAGCTTGATGACCCTCAGCCTCCAAGACGAAGGACACAACACATCACTTGGCTAGAAGGTTTGGGAGGAGGAGGCGCAGCAGGAGGGGGAGGATGAGGAGGAGGAGGAGGAGGAGGAGGAGGAGGAGGAGGAGGAGGAGGAGGAGGAGGAGGAGGAGGAGGAGGAGGAGGAGGAGGAGGGGGAGGAGGAGGAGGAGGAGGAGGCGGAGGAGGGGGAGGAGGAGGAGGAGGAGGAGGAGGAGGAGGAGGAGGAAGGACGAGGGATGAGGGATGGGAGAGTCCTCCTCTCTGGCCCCCTGAGACTCCCGGCCCTTGGATCCTGCTCCCTCCAGGCCCCATGCTCCGCCGCAGACTTATACAGTCGGGGCCCTGAAGAAGGAACCTTTGGGGAGGGGCTCCGCGTTCCTTAAGTGTTTCGCAGCTTGCCTCAGGCTTTCCTTAGGTTTTCGATGGGAAATCGAAGTTTAACTTATGGACAAAAGAGGCCTCGTTCCTTATTGTGGGTTCCTTAGGTCGAGGCCCCGACTGAACCCCCGACGCCATGATTTTTTTCACGGCGTCGACATCCAAAGGCTTCGACCCATATCCCTGAGACAGGCTTCACATCCCGAGCCATTTCTCACGGCCTCCTGGGGCGCAGGGCCCCACGAGGCCGACCGCTGCCGAAAGGTTCCCGCTCTCTTCTGGGACGCGAGCCTGTCTGGGCCTGGCCCTGCAAAGCATGCTTTTCCGGTGGGGCGAACCCCCGCCTGTCTGGGGCTGCCAGCGCCTGCCTCCCCCCCCGCAGGACGCGGGGCGCGAGCGCGACGGCCGCAGCCACACGCGGGACCGCCGCGAGGGCGGCCGCAGCAGGACGCGGGACCGCCGCGAGGACGACCGCCGGGACGACGACCGGCGGGACCGCGACCGGGACAGGTCGGGCGTTGCGCAATTCGGGAGCCTCGAGACGGGGGTCAGTGCAAACGGGGGTGAGCCAGAGCGCCCCGACCTTGCAGGATCCTGCAGGGCCAGGGTCGCATTGACCCGGGTTCGGGTGCAGGATCCTGCAGGATCCTTCGCATTGACCCGGGTTTGGGTGCAGGATTTTGCAGGATCTTGCAGGACTCTGCAAGGCTTGACTGACCCGGGTCTGGATTGACCCGGGTCAGCAGGTCCCCGAGCAATGGGGGGGCCATAAGTGAGGCATTCAAGAGAGGTCTTCGCCTTCGAGGATCGAAGGAGTCGATGTCTTTTCCGAGGCGGAAGCCTGCGGAAGGCCGCGGGAGAAGCCCGTACGAGATTGCAAGGTGGTTTGGTCCAGGGTTTTTGAGCCCGCCTAGTGGCGGGGTGAAGAAAAGGTGCCCCTTTTGTGCCCTCGGTGGGGCCCGAAAGGAGCCCAAGAGGGGCACGAAAGGTGCACGTTTCTTTCCTCTCCCCCCCATCCCGGGCCCACGGGCACATGGGCACCCACCCCCCAGATGGAATGGGTCTCAGGGTCCCTCGCCCCCCCCCCCCCAGTTTAGATGGGTGGGGGGGGAGACGACGCCGACGACGACGACGACGACGACGTTCGCTCCGGCCCCCTGAAGCACCGCAGCACCACGCCACTCACAGAGGGAGGCGACGCCGTCGACGACAATGTTGCTTATTCTCCTCCCTCAGCCCCCCTCCCCATCTCTTCCTCCTCGTTCCTTGGCCCTTCCCTCCCCACCTTTTGCTCCCTACTCTCGCTCTCTCCCACGACCACCGGGGAAGACTTCACCACGCCTCGCCCACATGGGGGTGGGGGGGCCCCTCGCGCGCACCGGGGCGGGGAGGCCCGATATGAGCACGAGGGGGGGGGGGGGCTCAGGCCCTGGAGATCATTCGGCGCCCCCCCCCCAGTGAGCAACGCCCGGACAGGGAGCGGCGGGAGGACCGCCAGGAGGACGACCGCCGCGACGGCGACCGCCGGGAGGAGGACCGCCGCGACGGCGACCGCCGCGACGGCGACCGCCGGGAGGAGGACCGCCGGGACGGCGACCGCCGTGACGGTGACCGCCGCGACGACGACCGCCGGGACAGGGACCGCCGCGACGACATCCGCCGGGACGACGACAGGCGGGACCGGGACCAGCGAGACGACGACCGCCGGCGGGACGACCGCAGCATCAGTCGGAAGGACGACATTCCGCGGAAGGGGGGCAAGGGCGGCAAGGGCAAGGGCGGCAAGTTCGACAGGCTGCCGGGGCATGGGTGCCACGGGGCGAGCTCCTCCTCCTCCTCCCTCCTCCCTCCTCCCTCCTCCCTCCTCCCTCCGTCCTCATCTCACCTTGTCCATCGCCCCTTTCCTCTTATCCCCCTCCTCCTTCCTTCTCCCCCCTCCTTGTGATCGACGCTAGGGGTAGTATTCTGGTTCGATCGCATGCCGGAGGAGGAGGAGGAGGAGGAGGAGGAGGAGGAGGAAAACGAGGACGAAGGGAGGATTATGGAGGAGGAGGAGGAAGAGGAGGCGGAGGAGGAGGAGGAGGAGGAGGAGGAGGTGGAGGAGAAGGAGGAGGAGAACGAGGAGGGCACCTGTGCCACTCCTGTTTGCCCGTAGGGGCCAGGATGAAAACAGGCGGGTAGCAGCCCGATCGTCACCCTTGTTTGCCCGTAGGGGCCAAGGGGAGAGAAAATGGTTTCCGTCGCCGCGGCCACCTATGGAGTAGGTGGTGGGTAGGTTGGGCGTCGTCGGAGCACGGCTCCGGCGCCCCCTACCCCGAACAGGGAGCGCGGAGCACGTTCTCCTTGCGTTCCCTGTTCGCGCATTGAGCTCGCCACGGGGGCATGGCCCTGGACCGTTGGCGCTGCTCTTCTTCGGCCCCCTGCTCGTCCCCTTAGCAGGTGGGCGTCTGTTCCTCTCTGTGAGGTCTTTGGGGCGCGTGGAGCTCAAAAAAAGAGGAGAACGAGGAGGAATGCGGGAGGTGGAATTGGAGAGAGGAGAGGAAGGACGAGGCAGGAGGGAGGAAGGATAGGTGGGGAGCCAGACGGGGAATGATGAGTGAGGGAGGAGGGGCAGGCGGGTCGAGGGGGGAGGAGGAGAGGAGTGGTAGCGTTAAGTCGGGCGCGTCCCCCTTACAGGGGGATTTTCGACGAAAAATAAAACATACACCAAACATGAAAAAACTAATACACAAATAGTAGGGGGATTATTTTTGGAGCATTTTTTTGACCTTTTTGGGGGCATTTTTGGGGATTTTATTTGGTGTCGAAAATCCCCCTATAGGGGGGCACGCCCGACTTAATGGTAGGGGGGGAGCGAGGGGGGACAAAACGAAGCAGAGATGATCCAGTGGCCGTCGGCCCCTTCCGCCACCCTTACCCTGGGTCGTGGGGCAGGGTCATTTCGGATGCCTCTTGGGGTCTACGGGGCTGCTTCGTGGGGTCTCTTGGGGGGCTTCTTGAGGCCTGTTGGGGCCTCTTGGCACCTTTCGGCGGCCTCTTGGGGGCCTCGTGGGGGCCTCTTGGGGGCCTCCTGGGGACCTCTTGGCGGTTTGGGGGGCCAATCTTGGCACGTGGGGGCTCGTGGGGCGAGCTCGGGATCCACCAGCTGGGGTCGGTTCAAAAATCTAGGACGGCATGCGTCGCGTGAGTCCTACTGAAAACAATAAATTGAAAACGGACGAGGTGTATGACATCGTCGTGTTGTTGTTTGTGCTGGTGGTTGTGCTGGTATCTGCGCTGGTGGTTGTGCGGGTGGCTGTGCCGGCAGTTGCGATGGTGATTGCGTTGGTGGTTGTGCGGGTGGTTGTGCTGGTGGTTGTACTGGTGGTGGCTGTGCGGGTGACCGTGCTGGTGGTTGCGCTGGTGGTTGCGCTGGCGGTTGTGCTGGTGGTTTTGCTGGTGGTTTTGCTGGACGTTGTGCTGGTTGTTGTGCGGGTGGTTGTGGCGGTGGTTGCGTTGGCGGTTGTGCTGGTGGTTGTGCGGATGGTCGCGGTGGTGGTTGTGCTGTTGTCGGCGCTGGCGGTTGTTCTGGTTATTCAGTTGGTGCCTGTGCGGGTGGTCGTGCTGGTGTGCTGGTGGTTGTGCGGTTGGTTGTGCCGGTGGTTGTGCTGGTGGTTGCGATGGTGGTTGTGCTGGTGGTTGTGCTGAGTTGTGCTGGTGGTTGTGTTGGTGGTTGTGCTGGTGGTTGTGCTTGATTTGTTGCTGCTGGTGTTTGCGTCGGTGGTTATGCTGGTGGTTCTGCTCCATGTTTTGCTGCTGGTGTTTGCGTCGGTGGTTGTGCTGGTGGTTGTGCTGGTGTTCGTGTTGGTGGTTGTGATTGTGGCTGTGCGGGTAGTTGTGCTGGTGGTCGTGCTAGTGTTTGTGCTGGTGGATGGCATTGTGGTCGCGCTGGTGGTTGCCATGGTGGTTGCGCTGTGTTTGTTTTTGCTGGGGTGTGGTTTTCTTGGTGGTTGTTTTGCTGGTGGTGGTTGTGCTGGAGGGTTGTGCTGGTGGTTGTTGGGCTGGTGGTTGTGATGGCGGGTCGTGTTGGCTGTGATTATTCGTGCGACCACCAGCACAGCCACATGCTGGAACACCAGCACATACGCCAGGGCAACCACCAGCCCAACTGCCATCAGCACTACCATCAACACAACCACACGCACAACAACCAGCAAACCAGCCAGCACAGCCACAGGCACAACCACCAGCACAACCACCAGCAGCAAAACATCGAACACAGCCACCAGTTCAACCACCAGCACAACCTCCCGCACAACCACCCGCGCAACCCCCCAGCACAGCACAACCACCAACACGGCAGCCCGCACAGCCACCACCAGTACAACCGTCAGCACAACCACCCGCACAATCGCCAGCCCAACAAATATCAGCACAACCACCAGCAGGACCACCAGCACAACCACCAGCCCAACCACCACCAGCACAACCACCAGCACAACACCCAGCACAACCACCAGCACAACCACCAGCACAACCACCAGCGCAACGACCAGCACGGTCACTCTCACGGCCACATTGCCTGCACGTCCAGAGTGCTCACGTTCATTATTTGGGATCGGCGCTGGCAAACATTTTGGGGGATGCGACGCGCGTTCCTCCTTGCCGTCTCGGGTCGGGGTGCTCACACCCAATGTGGCCACCAGTACGCGCTCGGTGCTACCTAATAGGAAAAGGATTCCTATACTGATCTTCGCCCACCATTGTAGACTCTTCCCGCATACTATCAGTATACGGCAGCAGTATGGCATGTGACGTTACCACTTTGCTGTGGATTTGGCAGCGGAGTTGGCCACACATTCTTGCGGTTGGATCCCAGAGTTGGTCTTGTTCGAATGCTCTTTGGCACGATCCACGTGGCCGTTGACACTCCCTACTTTGAGCCCGCACTCCATCCGCGAGCCCGTGGATCTATTTGAGATGAGTGTGGGAACAAGCTCAAAGTACAAGAGCCGACCCGAGAGGATCAACATAGTTTTGCAATGGCGATTTGCCTTAAGCCCATCAGGCCTGTATCTCCTTCGAAGGCAGAGTCGGTGAATTTTCAACGACCCAGGCATGGACGCACCCACAGAGACGCTGAACCGCACCCACAGAGACAACCCCGCGGAAATGCGCTTGAGCAGACCGGCTCACGACAACCATTTGTTGGTTTGGTTCTCTATATGCTATCATGTGGCTACGCAGTGGATATGCTATCTGATGCTGTTACCGTGCCGGGGGCACCGACAACAACACACTCCCGCATTGAGACCCAGCAGGGAGCTGAACGTTTTTAGAAATTTGTCTATGATATGAATGCGCGGGTAGTTCCCACAGGTGTTCGCATGACCCCGCAGGAACAAGCTGCAACCCTCCCTCGAGGGTTTGGGGCCTTGCGCGCAAGATCGCCATGCGTACACCCCCAGGCATCATGAACTTCGGCGTGCACATCAGAGGCACTCACACTGATCCTGTCACCTACGTCATGGTCATCCTGAGCATGATGTTCGAGCACCTCGAGGATGAACGTCAGCTCACCTCATGTACTCAACACATCGACTTCCATGTGCCGAATAACGAGCGCATCAACGAAGCCCTCGCCTGGTTCGGGATGGCGCGCCTCGAGGCACAGCCAGCTGCATTCAACTTGCCGAACTCTCATCTCCTCACTACAGTTCTGATCCTAGCCCTGGGAGTTGGCACCCAGAGGGCTTTGCAATTTCTACGACCCTTGAACCACCCGATGCCACGCATTCAGGTGGAGTGCGAAGCCCTAATCGAGCGCATGCAGTTCGTAACACACATCGCTGAGCGCTCTCCAGGGAGTATCGGGTCAATTTTCGGACGAGGTCGAGGTGGCAACAGCCACGCTCACCACGCATGCGCCACCGGTGCCTCGGAGCCTGGTAGTCAAAGCGCTTGGGCAGACGATGCCAGCGAAAGCCCCGCTCTGCTTGCCCGCCCACTGGCTTCAAAAATGCCAACGACGCATCAACCTGCCGCACTGATCGCATTGCGACGGCACCCTAGCGCGCCTCCACACTTCGGGCCGATGCAAATCCCATGGAGTCAGCATATGTCACTGACTCCGGCACTGCCTCCCCCACTGGTGGCGAACCCTTGGATTGGACAGACGTTCAGAATGTGGATGACGACGAGCAAAGGGATTCTGGCAGTTGCAAATAGCTACGCGGAGATTGCTCGCAAACCAGCGCGACGGACAAGATGGAATATCAGGGGCATGAACGAGGCAGATGTAATTGCAAAGGGGGGCGGCCGTCTGGAAGAGGCAAGTAGAGACGACCCCCCCGGGCGGCGCTGAGGCGAGAGCCTCATATTGAGACCGACTCGCCCTCCATCCGTGAAGCTATTGCCACACCTTCTAAGCTTCAGGATTGAAAATAGTAAGGGAGTCTCGGGCGAGACGCCCGACCCGCCCTTTCGACCAGCTTCGGGGGTTGACAGAGAGGAGTTACCTACAAGGAAATGGAATGAAGCAGGAGGAGGAGGAGGAGGAGGAGGAGAAGCAGGACAACGTGATTCTGGATGGGCACGAGAAAAGGGGACAAAGGAGAGGACGGGGCCCTCTCTCCTCCCTCCTTCCCCTGCTCTTCCTCACAATCACCATCATCATCATCAGCATCATCATCATCATTACCACCATCATCATCACCATCATCTCCCACCCCTACTCCTTGACCCTTCTCCCTCCCTGTCCTCCGTCCTCCGTTTTCCCTCGTACTCTGCCCTCCTGCCTCCTCCCTTCCACGCCCTCCCCGCTGCTCCTCTTCCTCCTCCCTCCGCCTCTGACGGCCTGATGGCTCGCCGAGGTGCCCTTCCCCCCTCGCCCGTTCCCTTCCCCCGCGGGAGGAGCAGGAAGGCAGGGTCGTCGACACTAACATCACAACCACAATACCAGCCCCCTCACCCGTTCGAGCCCCGATGCACATCGAATTCACGCGCAATTCGAAGCCCGCGCGTCCACGGGATCGTCGTCTACGCAAACACCAAAACCACGAGACCTTGGCCTTCCATTGGGAGCAGGAAGCGCACCACCACCACCACCATCTTGGGGGATTCAGGATGAGCTGATATGCGGGATGCAGGTGTGCATGATGTCCCGCGAGAGCGCCCGAAACGCTAGACACCACCACCACCACCACCCCTGACCATACTCTGCCTGCATTCTCCATCCTCCATCCTTCAGCAGGTGGTGGTGGTGGTGGTGATGTCCGACGAAGGCATCCATACACCACCATCGTGCCAGGCCAGGGCCATCCTGGGCCCCAGGACGGTGTATAGACCCTCTTGGCCTCGGCCAGGAGGGCGCATACGCCATCCCTGGGCCCAGGATGGCCCTGGCCTGGCACGGTGGTGGTGTATGGATGCCTTCTGCGAATGATGGTGGTGGTGCTGCGTTTCCTTCTCCCTGTCCCCCCCCTGGTCCGCGCACGTGCCTCCTCCGACCATGCTTTGCGACTCCTCCCCCTTGGGCGCCCCCCGTGTGGCGGGGCGGGCCCCGCCCGCCCGACGCCGCCGCGCACGCGAGGGCTCGCGCTGCCCCTCGGCCGCCCCGCGCCGCCAGGCGCCCCGACGAGCCGGGCAAGCTGTTCCTAGGCCCCCCCTTCCCCACCTCGGGAGGGGGGGGGGGGGCAGGCGGGGAGGAAGGGGGGGGCAAGACCTGGCATCGCTCGGACGTGTGCATGTTTCCTTCGGCGAGGACCATCGAGGAGCATCCGTGATCACTTTACGAAAAAAAACAAAACACGCACCAAGCCGACAAAAAAGCACCGGGGATGGACGCCCAAGCGATGGCGAGAAGACGCAGGAGCGGGAGGGGGGGACGGTGGGGAGGGAGGTGGAGGAGGAGGCTTAAGGGCGAGGAGGAGCCGCGAGAGGCCGAGGAGGCCGAGGAGGCCGAGGAGGCGGAGGCGGGGGAGGCGGAGGAGGCGGCGGCGGCGCCGCCGCGAGGCGAGGAGGAGATGGGAGAGCGGCCCGGAGCGCGCGGGCGCGGCAGGGCGCGTGTGAGCGTTGGCCGGCCGGTGTCCCCTCGGACTCGGGACCCCCAGAGCCTTGGAGGGGGACGGGGGGGGGGTGGGGGAGGGAGGGGACGAGGGGTGCATCGAAGCATCGGATCTTCAGCAGTGTCAGTCAAGCTTGAAGGCCGACGCACCTTCGGGGCAAAAAACCCTTGTTTGGATCCGCTGAATGTCAGCTTGTGATTCACAAATCCGTGGGGAGCGCGCGTTTAAGAAAATAGTTCCCCTGCTCGGGCGGTGCCGCCCGCCAGATTTAAAATCAACAGCGGCGGCGCCCGTGATTAGCGCCGACGCCCAGCCGCCAACGAGAAGGCGACAAACAGCACATACTGGGAGAGGGGAAGGGGGCGGGAGACAAAGGCGGCAGAAGCAGGGACCGTGAATTAGGGCGACACCTGCTTGAAATGAAGAAGACTTGCTGTCGGCGCTCGCCCCCGCACTTTCCGTGCTCTTCTCTGTCGAACCGATGCGTTTCTTTCGCCCTGGCCGCAGCCATGGGGGCGCTAGCTGCCTCGCGGACCCGCGAGCAAGGCGGGCTGGACGAAAGGGGTGTGTGACCAAGCGGGAATTTGTCCAGCAGCTCACATTGCTGATTTTCCGAACGCCCCTTGCGCCGAAAGCGGCGATGTATCGAGGACTGACCCCTCGGCGGGGCGACCGGAACCAGCTGCGCACAGCAGGTTTCGCACCCCCCTCTTTCCTTCCCAAGCTTTTCGTTCGACCCGCGCAAAGCGGGCCGTCCTCCTCCCCGCTCTGTCGCGGTTTCTGTAGTCGTCGACAACGGCGACGAGGACGAAGACGAGGATAAGGACGATGACGAGGAGGACGAGGACGAGGACGAGGACGAGGGCGAGGACGAAAACGACGGGAGGCGGACGCAGACGGCGACGGCGGCGACGACGACGACGCACGTCGGATGCCCTATGGGGGGGGGTGGAAGGGTGCGTGTGCTGCGCAGGCCCGCTGTGTTCGACGACGACGACGACGACGACGACGACGACGACGACGACGTAGAAGATGACGACGACGACGACGACGACGACGACGACGCACTGCGGATGCCCTGCGGTGGGGGGGGGGGGCGGGTGGCTGCGCGGGCCCGCTGACGACGACGACGGACGACAGACGACGACGACGACGAAGACGACGACGACAACGAAGAAGACGACGACGACGGCTACGACGACGACGGCGACGACGCATTGCGGATGCCCTATGGGGGGGGGCTGCGCAGGAGGCCCGATGGTGACGACGACGACGACGACCCGAGCAGGGCGGGCAGTTTTTCTCGCCCCCTCCTGTCGTGGTCTCTGTAGTCTTCGGCGACGACGACGACGACGACGACGGCGGCGGCGGCGGCGACGACGACGAGATCGACGACGCCTGAGACGGAGGGTAACATGTCATCGGATGTGTATTACCTCTATAACAAGTTCTATACGAAAAAGACATTTGTTTTTGGTTTTCACGCAGTGGGGTACACGACCCCCTCGCCGGCGCCCGCGACAACCCCCTGGCGCCCTGCGATTAACAAGATGTTTCTTGCCCCGCGGGGTGGACTCATCAGCCCCGGGGCGGGTTGTGCATTTGTTAATCACAAGCTGAAAGTCGAACGTCTCGCCGCCTCCCATTTGTCCCATCGGTGGTGCAGGTAAAGCTGGCACGGCTGGGTTCCAAACCGCAGTTGGAACTGCCCCCCCAAAGCCCGTATCACGGGACTAAGCGCAGGGTATGAGACACGAGCCAACCATTTCACGATAGAGGAAGGTCAGGGCCGATTCGATCGATGTCGGGTTGGCCGCGCGCGCGCGGCAAGCTGTCGCGCCGAACAGATGCGCCGAGGACGAGGATGACGAGCACGAGGGGGGGAGAGAAGCGAGGCGAGACGTCGGGAGGAGGACGTGGAGGACGAGGAAGGATCATATTGATATGGGCGGCGATGACGACGACGGCATCCAGGATCATGACGAAGAGGAGGGAGGAGGATGAGGCGGGACAGTGCGAACACAGGGCGACGATGACGACGAGGGGAACATTGAAGACGGAGGGTAAGGGGGGGGATGCTGAAGGGTGAACACGGAGTTTGGAGGATGAGGGTGTGGACGAGGAGGGGTAGGACGAGGGAGGGGAGGGATGAGGAGGACTAGGCGGATGTGGGGGATGGTGAAGCGGGAGGAGGAGGGGAGGAGGGAGAAGAGGGTGGACACATCTATGTATATATGTATACAGATTTTACATATGTATATATCTATATATCTATATATATATATATAGATGGTACGGTAGGAGGAGCATCAGGGGGAGCACCATAAGGATACCAGGATGACAACCAACAGGACGGAGAGGATATTGAGAAAAAAGAGGACGAGAGGGCCCGTGCGCGTGATGGTTGGGGGCGAGAAGTGAGCATGAATTGCAGGACCATGAGGGGCACGATGATAGTAATTAGGCTGATGCTGATGATGGTGATGATGATGATGATGCTGGTGACGACGGTGGTGATGATGGTGCTGCTGATAGTGATGATGGTGACGACGACGACGATGATGATGGCGGTGGTGACGATGAGGATGCTGGTGATGATGACGCTGCTGCTGATGATGATGATGATGCTGATGATGATGATGGGCATGCTGATGAAGCTTATGATGGTGATCTGGGGTGATGGCGATGATGCTGATGATGGCTGTTATGCTGGTGATGGCAGTGATGATGATACGGATGAACATGTTGATGATGATGACGGCGCTGACGATGATGATGATGATGATGATGATGATGATGATGATGATGTTTATGATGATCATGATGATACGGATGATGATCATGATGATGCTGCTGCTGATGATGATGATGATGATGTTGCTCATGATGGACATGCTGGTGACGATGGTGATGATGATGATGTTGATTATGATGAGGATGATGATGTTGTTGAGGACGCTGCTGGTGGTCATGATGATTATGATGATGCTGCTGATGATGATGCTGGTGATGATGATGCTGATGATGATGATGATGATGATGATGATGATGATGATGATGATGGTGATGGTGATGGTGATGGTGATGGTGATGGTGATGGTGATGGTGATGGTGATGTGATGGTGATGATGATGCTGACGATGCTGATGATGGTGATGATGCTGCTGCTGATGATGATAATGATGATGTTGATGATGATCATGAGGATGGGATGGAGGAGAAGGTGGAGGAGGAGGAAGAGGAGGAGGAGGAGGAGGAGGAGGAGGAGGAGGAGGAGGAGGAGGAGGAGGAGGAGGAGGAGGAGGGAGGATGATGACAAGTGAGGAGGGGGACTATGCGCAAGAGGAGGAGTGCGCGGAACCATGAGGACGGGAACGAGGAGGAGGAGGAGGAGGAGGACCTTGAGGAGGAGGAGGAGGAGGAGGAGGAGGAGGAGGAGGAGGAGGAGGAGGAGGAGGAGGAGAACCAGGAGGAGGAGGAGGAGGACCGGGAGGAGGAGGAGGAGGAGGAGGCGGAGGATGAGCAGCGGGACGGAAGGTGCGGTCTGGCGCCCGCAAGGCGGGCTCGACTCCAGGGTCGAGGAGGAGGACATTCGGAGGAAGTTCGACAGATTTGGCGAGGTCGTCCAGGCTCCGGCGGGCTGGGCGGGGCCGCTGGGCATTGGAGAGAGGAAGAGCAGCCAAGAGGAGCAGGGGGAGGATCACCACAAAAAAATGAAATCCCAGAGGAAGTGGGGGCGTGGAGAAGCCCCGCCGTTGTTCGACGAACGAACACACACACACACACTCACGCACGCACGCACACACGCGCGCGCGCACGCACGCACGCACGCACACACACACACACACACACACGCACGCACGCACGCACGCACGCACGCGCGCGCACGCACGCACGCACGCACGCACGCACGCACGCACACACGCACACCACCCACCCACCCACCCACCACCCACACCCACCACACCCACACCCACACCCACACCCACACCCACACCCACACCCACACCCACCCACACCACACACCCACACCCACACCACACACCCACACCCACACCCACACCCACACCCACACGCACACGCACACGCACACGCACACGCACACGCACACGCACACGCACACACGCACGCACACGCACACGCACACGCACACGCACACGCACACGCACACGCACACGCACACGCACACGCACACGCACACGCACACGCAACACGCACACGCACACGCACGCGCACGCGCACGCGCACGCGCACGCGCACGCGCACGCGCACGCACGCGCACGCGCACGCGCACGCGCACACGCACGCGCACGCGCACGCGCACGCGCACGCGCACGCGCACGCGCACGCGCCGCGCACGCGCGCACGCGCACGCACGCGCACGCGCACGCGCACGCGCACGCGCACGCGCACGCGCACGCGCAACGCGCACGCGCATGCGCACGCGCACGCGCCGCCCGCCCGCCCGCCCGCCCGCCCCGCCGCCGCACGCACGCACGCACGCACGCACGCACGCACGCACGCCCGCCCGCCCGCCCGCCCACGCACACCCACGCACACCCACGCACACCACGCACGCACGCCCGCACGGCCGTCCGTCCGCCCGCCCCCGCCCGCCCGCCCGCCCGCCGCACGCACGCACGCACGCCCGCCCGCCCGCGCACGCACGCACGCACGCACGCATGCATGCACATGCACGCATGCACGCATGCACGCAAGCACGCAAGCACGCAAGCATGCAAGCACGCAAGCACGCAAGCACGCACACGCATACATATACACATACACATACACATACACAGACACAGACACACACATACACATACACATACACATACACATACACATACACATACAAATACACATACACACATACACATACACACGCACACACACACACACCACACACGCGCACGCACGCACGCAAGCACGCACGCACGCAAGCACGCACCCACGCACGCACACACACACATGGATATCCACAGGGAGGTCGGCGGGGGGAGGACTGGCTATGGATGTGAGTGCGGGCTGTCGGACCGCGAGGGAGGCTCCCGCTCGAGCGGGGAACCCCCTCCGGCAACACGCACCCATAGCCTCCTCTGACCTCCATATGGGTATGGGTGTTTGTGTGTGTTGTTCATTCGTCATGTTCGGGTTTCCGGGCCCCCCCCACTCCCCCCCTTGGCCGCAGGACGGTCCACGAAAACAGCGCAGGGGGAACGGCTGGTCCAGGAGAAAGTCCCCGGCCCCAGAACCCGTCTCCGCTGGGACGCTTTCCCTCATGTCAGGAGGAGGATATTGAGGAGGTGGATATTGAGGAGGAGGAGGAGGACCAGAGCAATCGTAGCATCCCTAAATGCAGCACCAACGCTGTAACAAACCCTCCCGTCAAAGGTCCCCACCTGAGAAGTAGCTGCGGTGTTTCTTCGCTGCGTGGGAGGGCGCGTGGAAAGACGTAGGCCCATGTGCCTGCCATTCAGGCGGCAGCGCTGTTTTGATAAGGAGCTGCACTCCATCATGGCTACGAGAACTACCCAGAGGTAGTATCATAAAGACGAGAAGGTGTCTAGCGCGAGCTCCCTTTTGAACAGCAATTGGCTTCCAGCCGTGTCACTGCTGCACGTGCACACAGCTCCGATGATATAGCTAAAGGAAAGCTCAAGCGAGAGCCGCATGTTGACACGAACCGTCCTCCATCGGTGTAAGTATTGCACGCTTTACACGACTGGTCATGACTTACACCAGAGGAAATCCCCAGTCAGTGGATGGTGTGAAAAACAGTGATATGGATATCGAGATGGGTCATGGTATCGATCTTGAGATAGATGGTGGGATCGATAGCGAGGTCGATAGTAAGGTCGATCGTGAGACCAATCGTGAGGTCGATTCAGTAAGATCGGCAATGAGATCGATCGTGAAATCGCTTGTGCGATCTATATTGAGATCGGTTGACGGATCGATAAGGAGATCGACCAGGAACCCAGGAACCAGGAAACCCGGGAACCCCGCCGCCCACGGAAGTCGGCTCGGGAGCAGCAGCCGGGAACTGGGGCACCCGGAACCGGGAACCCGGGAATTTGGCCGCCCACCGAAAGCGGCCCGGCATTTTCGCCAAATCTTTGAATCTCCGCTAGAACCCCTTCGGTGCAAGCACTGATTTTGGGGAATTCTGAGGAGTTCTCAAACCAGACGGTTAATCCGTCGTGTGAGGCGAATGTGACGTGTGCGGCGCTCAAGCGGCAGCAACATGTTGGAGCCAATCCGCCCCCCTTCAGTGTACACGTTGGCACTGGTAGTGCGAATGTGCACGGCGCTGGGGCGAGCGGTGTGCACGTTCGAACCGTGTGCTGTTGGACTTTTCGAACTTCAGGGCCGTCAGCGGTGAGGAAGTTGCAAGCGAGACGCCAAGCCCGCCATTCCGTCGCGATCTCTGGCGCGACGAGGAGGAGTGTTCGAAGACGACTGCGGCGAACCAGGGCCGCCCCCTGCCTCTCGGAAGCGCATGTGTGGCCAAGCGTTGGGCCGACGTCTTGCCAAGCTATCGGGCTATGAATTCGCCAGGCCTGTGTGAAAACCTGTGTGTGGGGTGAGGGGAGGGGGGAAACGCAGGGAGGTACAGAGGATGAGGATAGGGAGGGGAAGAAGGGGGACGAACAAAAATATGCCTCTTGGGGGCTCTTTGGGGGCCTCCTGGTGGCTTTCTGGAAGCCTTTCGGGCGGCCTATGGTTGCTTGTTTGGGGCCCTCTTGGGAGCCTCTTGGGGGCCTCTCAGGGACCTCTTGGCCTTTGAAAGCCGTCTCAGGGGGCGTCACTGGACAGTCTTTAGACGCTCCAGTGTCGTTAAGGTCTCTGGGGCCGTCTAGGGGCCCTTTTGAACACTTTGGGGACCTCTTGGGCCGTCGTGGAGCCCTGTCGGCCGGGTAGGGGGCCCTCTTGGGGGCGTCTGTTGCTGTCTTGGGGATATATTGGGGGCTGCCTCGGCCGTCTGCGGCTGTCGAAAGCCCGAAGTGGCGATAACATTGAAACCATTGAAACACACGCAAGGGCGGTCACCGTTTGTTTGCCTCCTGAGGGCTTCCTGTAGGTCCTCGTGGAGCATCTTGGAGCGTATCTCAGACCTTCTTAGTGCTCTCTTGGGACGTCTTGGGGCCCTCTTGTGGGCCTTTTGGGCAGCCTTGAGGCGATGCTTGGGTTCTCTTGGGCCGTCCTGGAGAGTCAGAAGCCCGACAGGTACGAGCGCGACATTTCCAACAGCACAAGGTGTGCCACTGGCCTTTGCATCCGTGAAGAGGCAGGAGGCAGGGCGATCAGGAGGAGGGGGAGAGGGGGGCGGGCCAGAGGGGGGGCGCAGAAGGGGTCTGGCGAGAGGCGGGCGGCCCTCTCAGAAGGCATAATGCTTTGTTCCCCCCATGTTTCGTGGGGTTCTGGTTTCCTTCCCACCTTCCTTCTCCTTCTCCTTCTCCTTCTCGCTCCCACCTCTCCTTCTCTCGTCTTTTTAGCTCCCACCTCTCCTTCTCCTTATCGCTTGCACTAGTGTTGACAGCACATACACACATACAGCACATGTACACACAGCACACATATCCACCACACGCAGGTAGGAGGGGGATGATGCCCGTACTGCAAAGCTTGGCAGGCGTGGCGTGGCAGGCGTGATGTGCGTGCGACTGCACACTTACACAAAGACATGTACACGCAACACACATACACACCACATAGTGTGCAGGGGGTGGTCCGTGAGCGCGGCGTCTATGCGGGCCTTGGCGCAGGGCACGGCAGCCGTGGCACTTTCGCGATACTTGAGGGGGTGCGCAGGGGGTGGCCCCTGAGCGCGGAGTCTACGCGGACCATGGCGCAGGGCACGGCAACCGTGGCTCTTTCTCGACGCCAGAAAAGGGGTGCGCAGGGGGTGGTCCTTGAGCGCGTCGTCTATGCGGGCTATCATAGCCCGCATAGCACGCCTGCCGTGCCGTAGCCGCTATGGCACGGCAGGCGTGGCACTTTCTCGACACCAGAAGGGGGTGCGCAGGGGGTGGCCCCTGAGCGCGGCGTCTATGCGGGCCATGGCACAGGGCACGGCAGCCGTGGCTTTTCCTCGACGCCAGAGGGGGTGCGCATGGGGTGGTCCCTGAGCGCGGAGTCTACGCTGGCCATGGTGCAGGGCACGGCAACCGTGGCTCTTTCTCGACGCCAGAAAGGGGTGCGCAGGGTCTACGGGCCATGGCGCATGGCATGGCAGGCGTGGCACTTTCGCGACACCAGAGGGGGTGCGCAGGGGGGGGTCCTTGAGCGCGGCGTTTGTGCGCGCCATGGCGCAAGGCACGGCAGGCGCGGCTTTTTCTCGTCGCCAGAGGGGGTGCGCAGGGGGTGGTCCCTGAGGGCGGCGTCTATATGGGCCATGGCGCATGGCATGGGTGACGTGGCACTTTCGCGATACCAGAGGAGGTGCGCAAAGGGTGGTCCCTGAACGCGTCGTCTCTGCGGGCCATGGCGCAGGGCACGGCAGGCGTGGCACTTCTCTCAACACCACAAGGGGTGCGCAGGGGGTGGTCCTTGAGCGCGTCGTCTATGCGGGCCATGGCGCATGGCACGGCAGGCGTGGCACTTTCTCGACGCCAGAAAAGGTGTGCGCAGGGGGTGGTCCGTGAGCGCGTCGTCTATGCGGGCTATGGCACGGCAGGCGTGGCACTTTCTCGACACCAGAAGGGGGTGCGCAGGGGGTGGCCCCTGAGCGCGGCGTCTATGCGGGCCATGGCACAGGGCACGGCAGCCGTGGCTTTTCCACGGCACCAGCCGTGGCTTTTCCTCGGCTCAATTTGCAGTCAGGTGAAATGCGGATCCAGAGTGCCGGCAGTCGAGGAAGGGCGACGGCCCAGACTTGTGGAGAGCCCTCAACAAGTGCTCAACCAATGAATATACTAGAGAATGTATGTACCTTCCATTCGTCTGTTCGCTTTGCAGCCTGACATGCTCGGTGGAGCGAGCGCGAAGTTTACGGGGAGGTGAGCGACGTCGCTGGTTTGTCTTACCAGCGGTCTTGGAATTCACCGTGGCGCTGGCAACATGTATCAGGCATGAATTGAGTATGTGGGGTTTCTCGGTAGCATAATCTTGGAGGCCGTCCCGCCTGCCGGGAGGCCCTCTTAGATGCATCCGACGCTTCCTCTGCTGCCGCTCGTGGGTGGTTTCTCTGTTCGCCTTGGGGAAGGCACCTCTTCTGGCCCCCGCCTGGCTGGCTCGGCGGTGGTCCCCCATCCTCCGCCTCCCGTTTCACGCTCTCCCCGCTGCGCAGTGCGATGACAAGCTCATGGGGTGCATGCTTGTGTTTGTTGTTTGTTGGGAAAAACCTCCCGATTCCTCCTAAAAAGCCCCATTCCTTCGTAGACCACGTCCCTCCCCTCGCCTCATCCTCTGGTGCGCGCTGCCATGTTTCCCGAATGCCCATAGTTCACAGTACTGATAATTCGGATATAAGAAAATTCATTCGGTGACCTGGAGCACGGCTCCTAGATCACGTTGTCAGTAGCTTACGTGGAGAAAGAACGTCATGGAGTCATGTGGACAAGCTTGACGATCGATCCGTCGATGGAGGCATGTTTTCAATGTGTATTAGTGTTGCCGCCGCACCAGCGTGTTGGCATGAAGGTGGCCATACCCTGCATGAGACGATGGTTCATTGCGGGTAACGTGCGGTTGATGGGACTACGAGGTGGTAGCGTGTTACTACCAGTGGTTGCTTGGAGAAGCGTGCTGTTCCCAGCGTGCTTGACAGTATATCAACGCATTGAAGCTTTGATTGCAAGCCATGGGAACTTTGCAAGTCCTCGCAAGTCCTTCTTCAGAGTGTATTGACGTGCGCTCGCCTCTGGTCGTCGATGAGACAGCGCTGACTTAGCTTCTATTAGTGTCGATGAGTGTCGATCAGCGTCGGCGAGCGCCGATTTGCAAAAGGCCAGCAAAATAGCACGGGAGGCCCCCCGTCAGTTGCCACCGGAACTTAAACCGATGATGATGATTTCATAATGGCCACATTGTGGTGAAGCAGGACAGGCGCTACCCGATCATCATTTTAAGATATAGCCGATCGCTTAATGACTGAAGAAGACCTGAAATTCCGACGTTCTCAATTCCTGTTGTCGGACCTCGAACATGTCAATTCATCCTTGTATAGTGTTGTGTGGATCGATGGCGTTCGTTATCTTGGAAGAGGGTGCCTTAACGCAAGGATCGGGTGTATATGTGACCCCAGCTTTCTCACAACTCGCCCGCACCCCGCGCCATGCACCCAACTCCACAGGTCCAGATCGTCAAGGACCGGGAGACGGGCATGCCGAGGGGCTTCGGCTTCCTCAAGTTCGCAGACCCGAGCAGCGCGGACAAGGCGCTGAGGGAGATGGACAACGTCGAGATCCAGGGCCGCCGCGTGCGCATCAACCGTGCCACGCAGAATGCCAACCGGCAGCAGGCGACACCCCCCCTCCCCAGCCCTTCCTCCTCTTGGATCCGCGGGCGACTCGCGTGCACCGTGCCGCGGTGGCGTCTCCCGAGGCGCCGTCCATGGATGACCCAGGGACGGTGCGGTGCATTAGTTTTCCGGCCCTTCGAGCCGAGCCCTTGTACAGTCGGGGCCCTGAAGAAGGAACCCTTTTCTTTGGGGAGGGGCTCCGCGTTCCTTAAGTGTTTCACAGCTTGCCTCAGGCTTTCCTTATGTTTTCGACAGGAAATCGAAGGTTAACTTATGGAAAGAAGGGGCCTCGTTCCTTATTTAGGGTTCCTTAGGTCAACGCCCCGACTGTGCACTATGCCGCATTGGAGCGGACGGAACAACATCGGTACAGTGCGTGCGCGCCGTTCCCGCACCCTGCGCGGGGAAGTTCTCTGCGCCCACCGGTCGTCGGACGCGTCGGGTGCCACAATGTGAACCCCACCCCTATACCCCCCCCTCAGAAATCGTCCCGAACGAAGTGAACCCCACCCTCCCCCTCAGAAATCGTTGGGGGTATAGGGGTAGGGTTCACATGTGGCCCCCTATAGGGGGCCACATGTGGCCCCCTATAGGGGCACGTTATAACGTGCCCCCGGGGGCCCCGCGGCGCACCCGGAGGCCGGGCATTTTTGGCGGGCAGGTGCCCATGGCAGACACCCCGCGGAGATGCAAGGGGAACGCCACAGAGTCGGCGGCCGCTGGCTCCCTCCCCCAGGGCAGCGTCAGGAGGGGACGGGCTCGGTCGAGGCGTCGGCCCACACTCGCCCGGTCATCGCCCCGACGAGCCCAGCCCGAGAGCCCACCCCGCCCCAGGAGCGCGCGGTGTCGCTGTCGAGAGCCTGTCGCCGATTTCTTGGCGCTGCATCGCCGATTCCAGCTCGACGTTACCCCCCCCCCCTGGGGCTGGTCCCCCCCTTGTCTTCGGATGCGACTCCTGTGAGGTCAACTTCTGATGTTGCCCTGGTCCCAAGTCCGGCTTAATCCCGCTGAATCCCGCTTAATCCGGCTCAATCCGGCTTAATTCCGCTTGATCCCGCTCAATCTGGCTGGATCTGCTTAATCCGAGGCCCACTCTACCGTAACAGCTCCCAAATGGGGCTTATAATCCTCTTTGATCTTTCCGACGAAAAACCTCCCAGTGGTTGCCTCCTACCTTGTCGTTCCCCTGCCACCCGGCCGGTATAAGCACAGAGAGGCGAGGGGCGTGCGCGGCGCGGCCCGTGCGTTGGGGGCTTGGGGGGCCCATCGTTCTCGCGTGTTGGGGCAGATGTTGTGCAAGCTCTTCTGCACCGCCTGCACCCCCGACCCCGCCCACTCCCCCGCCCACTCCGGCCGCCTGAGGCCCCGCCCGCCTGTGCCCTGTCTCCCCAATTAGTGCTTTGCGCGGCCCGCCTAGCTCTTAACCGGAAGAGGCTCGCTCTCGCCCCGCAGACCCAAACAAAAATATGTCGGGGCAGATGCGCCAGAGGAGGGACGAGACGGAGAGGGGAGGATGCGAGGGAAGGGCGAGGTGGAGAAAGTTTAGGCAGGTGCGTGAAGATGCGCGCATCGCGTGGCGCGATGTGCGAAGTTGAAGCGGTGCCCTGCAGAAGAGGAGGAGATGGCGGAGGAGAAAAGGAAGCGGAGGGCGAGGATAAGTTGTGGATGATGAGGGCTTTTCCTCTCTCCCTCTTCTTCTCTCGCCAATGGTTCGGAGGATGGGGAGGAGGAGGAGGAGGAGGAGCAGGGGGAGGAGGAGGAGCAGAGGGAGGAGGAGGCAGAGGCGGAGGCGGAGGAGGAGGAGGAGGAGGAGGAGGAGGAGGAGGAGGACGAGGAGGAGGAGGAGGAGGAGAAGGAGGAGTTGAACTCCACGACAATCGTATCACACAGCCTAAGGTCTCCATCTAGACTTCCGACTGCTCGATCTCTTCGAGTCGCTGGCCCCTGAGCCTCTCGATCCTATCCATGACAGATATATCGTCCCCGGTCGATGTGCGAATCTTGCAGGTCGAAGCAAGGGCCACCCCAGTTGTCTAAACTGGAGAACAAACTCCAGCAGGCGCTGTTCGCTCGAGTCCCCAGAGATGGGCCCTCCTCAACATCGCCCCCTCGACCTATCGCAACCAGGATGCCGAGACGGGACCAGCCGTGTCATCAAAGGCGCCCACGCAGCCCCAGAATGTCATGAGCTCACCAGCACCCAAACGTAGGCGACCCCCAGATAAGTATATCTCGGGGTGGCATTCCGCAGCCTCGCCTTGGCGGGAGCTCCCCTCGGGATCCGACGCATCGCACGCACATTTCCAGCGCCTTCATCGCTCTGCCCTTCCTCACTCCTCCTCCCGGTATAGGCTTGAGCTGCTCTCTCGCCAGGACAGGGCGGCGACGGGCGCCCGCCCGCCTGCCCCTCGACTCCCCGACTCCCCGACTCCTCGACTCCCTCTCCCGGCGCGCCCCCCGGAGGACCGCGACGGCCACCAGGACAGGGACGGCGGCAGGGGCTACGCGGACCGCCGCGACCACGACCGCGGCGGCGACCGCCGGGACCACGGCAGGGACCGGGACCGCGGAGGCGGGGCGGCCGCGGGGCGGCCTCCCCTCTCGAGGGCCGAGGGCCGCAGGGCGGGCTCCCGGGTGCTCTCTCCCCTGGCCCTCCGGGGGCGCCCCCGCGGCCGCGGCCGGCCCCGCCCAAGGAGGTGCCGCGGCCGGAGCCTGGAGAGGGGGCCAGGGGCCGGCTCTGCAGAGGAGGGCCCGGACCTCCGGCGGCTCGAGGAGCTCTGGACGCCGCGTGTTCCTGCACTCCCTGGCAGGCCGATGTTGGGGCCCAGGGGGCCGTCAGGAAACCACTCGGCAGGTCTGGAGCGTACGATAGGATACGCGGGTGGAGGGTTCCGGCGACTCCTGCCTCGAAAGGTCGAGCCAGTGGATGTCTGGGTTCTCTCCTTCCCTCCCTCCCTCCCTCGCTGCAGGCTGGCAGGGCGAGGAAGGAGGTCGGAGGAGGATCGGGAGGCTTCCGGCATCTTTTGGCTCCTGCCGCCATTCCGCCACCCCCTGGGAGAGAGTGTTCGCGACGACCGCGGAGCCCCTCCTGATCTCTTGGGCCCGATGAATACATGGGTCCATGATGCGGCCTTCTTGTGTCAGGAGGAAAAGAAACACACAGACACAATTAATCCTCGATTCCCCAGAAAAAATATGAATATGGAAAGTGTGGGGGGGAAGACAGAAACCCAGAAAATATAGGAAAGTATAGAGATTATGTATATTTGTGTGTATTTATTTGTGTGTCCTGGGGCCCCTTCATTGTGGCTGTCGGGGGTCTCTTGGGGCCTTCGGAGCTGGGCAGGTTGTTCTGGAAAGTTTGGATGGCCTGGCAGGCGCGACGGCGAGCTCGTCGCCCTCTTCTCGAACCGGATTCGGGGTTTCTCCTGGCATGTGCGGGTGATTCTGCAGGGTTTGGTCGGGAGGAGGATGGGGGGTGCAGTGTGAGGGGTGAGAAGTCAAGAGACTGGACTGAGGACGTCATGGGGACATGCGTGAGGGAGGGGGAGGAGGAGCAATGGGATGAGGAGGAAGAGGAAGATGAGGAGGAGGAGGAGGACGAGGAGGAGGAGTATGATGATGATGATGATGATGATGATGATGATGATGATGATGATGATGATGATGATGATGATGAGGAGGAGGAGGAGGAGGAGGAGGAGGAGGAGGAGGAGGAGGAGGAGGAGTATGAGGAGGAGGAGGAGGAGAAGAGGAGGAGGAGGGAGAAGGTGGGCGGGTGGGCACCGACTGAAATGCCGTCTGCTGGCACAGACTGCGACAGGCTTTCAAGAGAGCAAGCGGGGCTTCGGTGAACGAGAGGTAGCAGACTTTGACAGCAGGCAGCCCCACAAACCCGCCTCAAGCGTCCAGAGGGAATCCAGTGGACGGGTGCAGGCCCCGTCAAGCCTTCTCCAGCTTCCTCAGCTGCTTATCCTTGGTGGACGGAGCCGCCGAGGCCCCCAGACAGGAACCCGAGAGGGACCGCAGGACCTCATGGGGCAGTACGAGGAAGCCAGAGCAAGTCGTACAAATCAGAACTTTGCCGATCTGGGAAACCGAGTATCCTCGGTCGGCAAACTCCTTCAAGGCGTCTTTCCCCGACCCCGAAGGCGGGTCAGGAGGCGGGGGAGGAGGAGGCTCGGAGGAGGCAGAGGAGGCAGAGGTAGCATCAGGGAGCAGGAGGAAGAGGAGGAGGAGGAGGGAGGAGGAATAGGAGGAGGAGGAGGAGGAGGAGGAGGAGGAGGAGGAGGAGGAGGAGGAGGAGGGGGAGGAGGACAAGCTAGGTGCGCTCGCGTTATATCTGACGTCCTACCCCTCCCTCCCATCCCTTACCATGGCGCTGATTTTCTCTATCCGCGGACGCGTGTCGTAGCGGACCTGTGGCTCCGCGCGCGCGTGCGTAGTGGGTGGTGGTGCACGTGCGTGCGTGCGTGCGTGTGTGCGTGGTTGTGGTGGTGGTGGTGGTGGTGGTGGTGGTGGTGGTGGTGGTGGTGGTGGTGGTGGTGGTGGTGGTGGTGGTGGTGGTGGTGTGGTGGTGGTGGTGTGGTGGTGCTGGTGCTGGTGGTGGTGGTGGTGGTGGCTGGTGCTGGTGCTGGTGGTGGTGTGGTGGTGGTGGTGGTGTGTTGGTACTGTTGGTGGTGGTTGTGGTGGTGGTGGTGGTGGTGTGGTGGTGGTGGTGGTGGTGGTGGTGGTGGTGGCGGTGCGGCGCGGTGGTGGCGGGCGGATGGGCGCGCGAGAAAAAGGCCCGCGCTGGGGCGAGAACGCCATCCTGAACGACGGAGGCCAAACACCGATCCGAAAATGAGGCCCACGCTGCAGCGGGAGCACGATTCGGAACGATTCGGGAGCAGAAATGAGGCCGGCGCCTCAACGAGAGCAGCATTTTGGGAAAAAATGACGCCGGCGCCTCAGCGAGAGTCGTTTCCCGGGATTTTTCGGGCATCCTGTGTGTAAAAAAGCAATACGCGGAGGGTGCGCGGCTATCACCCGGACGCCATCAGGGGAAGGATTCGGGAGCAGAAATGAGGCCGGCGCCTCATAGAGAGCAGCATTTTGGGAAAAAATGACGCCGGCGCGAGAGCAGCATTTTGAGAAAAAGTGACGCCGGCGCCCCAGCGAGAGTCGTTTCCCGGGATTTTTCGGGCATCCTGTGTGTAAAAAACAGTACGCGGAGGGTGCGCGGCTATCACCCGGACGCCATCAGGGGAAGAGGGGGGGTATATTCATATTGAGTAATTGTGGAGGAGGAGGAGGGGGAGGTGGAGGAGGGGGAGGATGGGGGAGGAGAAGGAGGCGGAGGAGGAGGAGGAGGAGGAGGAGGAGGCTTTGGGGAGGCAGAGGAGGCACGACCAGCAGCAGGGGAAACCCTGGCCGCCTCAGCCTGCAGCGGCAGTGCGTGAGGCCCTGCAGCCGCCGGCCACTCGAGCGTCTCCGGGCTGGCTGACAGCGCGGCGGCCCTGCGCATCTTCCGAGCTGCTTTGCGTAAGTGTGTAAGCCCTGGGCGTCTGCAGACCACCCAGCCAGCTGCCCCCAGCAGCAGCCCCCCGGCAGCCGGCAGCCACTTCTGAGTGCTGGCCCGGCCGTCTCGCGCGTGGCTCGGTAGTTAATTAGGCTGGACCGTGCCCCGGACCCCCCCTCTCGGCGACTGCTTTACGCGTCAGCCCGCTGACCAAACAAAAGTAAGTGTGCAAGCGTGGCAGTGGTGCGGGCTCCCACGAAGCAGGCTTCACCACTGCTCTGGAGTGCGGCGACGCAGGCTTTCTTTCGGCTGAGGTTGGTGGCCAGCCGACCCGCTGCGGCGGTGCATGAAGCCCACGAAGCATTGGTTGCATCTATATCGCCAGAGCGTGCGCCCAGGGATTCGAGGTGCTCAAGTGGAGACAGCCAGGGCGGCAGGGCCTGTCGCGCGGCCGTGGGATGGGGCGGCATGCCGGTCCACCCCCCATGTCGCGATAGTCTAGACGCAGCCCACGAGACATACTGGAGGTCGTCTTATGAAACTGCAGCTCAGAATCCATAGTTTAGCAACTGCCTGGGAGGCCGTTACTCTACTTGAAGCAAGCTTAGCAAAGTAGTCATAACAATCGTTACCAACACACTTAATGCATTAACTAATGAATCCATTCTCGGTTGTCCACGTGCTACCACGCTGATAGGGACCATCGGGGCGTGGGTGGCTTGGGTTCTAATGGACTAATGGAGAAGTTCAACATTCGTGTCTGGACGGAAGAGCGCAGTTCCAGAATGCAGCGTTGGAGTCAAACATGGGGAGTATGAGTTGCGAGCAATGGGCATGAAGAGTCCAAAGCTGGGATCCTGACGGGCGCAGAGCCCGAGGACGACCGCTGGCGAGATGGGTCGGTCAAGTTCAGCTGAGCTTTTATGGCACGCAGCCGCGCTCGCGGGCACGGCTCGTTCTCAGCTTCCTGTCTGGTCCTGTCCTTGCTGTTAGGCTTCCTCAACACGGAGTTGGCCTGGGGTCAAGACAGCAGGGATGGATGATGCACAACACGATTCTTAGCATAGGCGAACCTATTTCTCCATACCCCAGCATCTTGTTGCATGCCTCTGGCAAGATCTGGGTCCCAACTTTGTGCCCCTCGAACAAGGGACAGCAGATCGGAGACGAACACCTTCATGTTAGAATTGACCTTACACGCGTGACGGTTGGCCGTGCGCTCCGCTATTCCCAGTGCTTGGACGGGTCCAGCGAGGTTCCGAAACAAGGCTCGCACTCGGAAAAGTTCTCTGCGTCGAGCTGCACAACGCCCCAGCCCGCCCTACGCACCTCGGGCACCGAAGATCCTTGGGCACTACCGTACCCAAACACCACATGACCCCAGGTATAACGCACATCCCCCGCTCCCAGACATCAGGGGTCCCTGGTGGCGGAGGCAGAGGCACAGACAGCCTAGGAATGGAATCGCTAATGTTTAACGTGTTATACTCTGGGCGTCCTAGTTTGCGGCGTGCGGCAAGTGCGCGACGCGCTTCACGATGCGATTGGGACTTCTATGCCACAGCATCACAAGCGACCAACATGTCGTTTGGCTCGGGTAGCGCTGCGCAATCACACCACTCGTGCCTCCGGCTGCCTTCTGGTGGCTTTCATGCGCTGCAGGCTGGCACGATGAGCCTGTCCCACGCTGCCAGCCTCGCCGCGGTGGGGTACCTGTCGGCCCGGAGAGCCCGCAGGGCGCCGATCTGCTGCGGCGAGGGTTCCTTCAGGCCGTTGCGCAGTGCCCTCTCCCACACGTCGCCGGTGGCGTCCCTGACCTGCGGCAAAGCACCGATCAGCTTGCGCATCTGCCACACAGCACCGACTAGCTTGCGCATCTGCCATCTCTTGACAGCAGCCTCGAGGAAGAGTTGCATGTCAGCTGGGGTAACCTGCAGTAGATCATGAACTCCGCCCAAGCCGTCGCGCCAATGATACGGTGATAGTCACTCCCAGCCAACACGTTTAAGGTTGAGCCAACATGCACCAACGGGCCCGCGTACCCCTGCCCAGGTGAGGCCCGACTGTACACG